TCCCCTCCCAGTCCATCCCAGTATATCCCAGTACCTTCCCAGTCCATCCCAGTCCCCTCCCAGTCCATCCCAATCCCTTCCCAGTCCATCCCAGTCCATCCCAATCACCTCCCAGTCCATCCCAGTATATCCCAGTACCTTCCCAGTCCACCCCAATCCCCTCCCAATCCCCTCCCAGTCCATCCCAGTCCCCTCCCAGTCCATCCCAGTTTATCCCAGTCCATCCCAATCCCCTCCCAGTCTATCCCAATCCCCTCCCAGTCCATCCCAGTCCATCCCAATCCCCTCCCAGTCCATCCCAATCCTCTCCCAGTCCATCCCAGTTTATCCCAGTCCATCCCCCTCTCGTTCCAGTTCCCACCCAGTCCCTTCACCCCGAGCCGTGCTCCAGGGCCGGTCACTCCTGGCTCTGCTGGCTCCCTTTCCGCGGCCACGTCCCGGCGCACGCCGTGTCCAGCTGGACCCAGCGCTCCGGCCGCCCGCAGTTCGTCTGCTCCACTCGCCTCCTGGGCTGCAACCTGGGCTCCTTCGACCCCGAGCGCGGCCCCTTCTGCTCCTTCCCGTGGGCCGAGGAGGAGGTGACGAGCTCCGAATTCCAGCTCCTGATCAACCCCGGCGGCTTCGAGGCGCTGGACTGGGTGGACACCTCCTTCGGCAGCACCCCCGAGGGGGCCGTGGAGGGATGTCCCCTCACCGACATCTTCGTCGGCCGCAGCCCGGACGGGCTGGGCAAAGTGTCCAAGGAGCAGCAGGCGCTGTTCGTGGCCGTGGACGGCGAGGAGATTTGGTACAAATGGTACCAGATCCTGGTGGTCCGGCAAGGCCCGGCCGACGTCTCCATCGCCGACGTGTCCTACAACGGCAGCGCGGCGCTGGAGAGCGCCGAGGCCGTGGCGCTGGCCGAGGTGCTGGCGAGGAACGACGGCTGCCGGGTGGCCCCAAAATCCGTCACCTTGGAGGAGGCCACGGAGGTGGAACGCGGCTGGAGCGCCGAGCTGCCGGCGCTGGTGGCTTCGCGCGGGGTGCTCCGGGCGGCTCCGCTGGTTTTCATGGAATCGGGAGGTTGGGACGTGGGGAACGTCACCTCCGTGCCGTGGGCGGGCGGCGCCAGCGCCACCGAGTTCGTGTGGCGCGTCCACCGGCTCCGCGAGGAGATCCCGGCGCGCTCCGAGTGCGCCGTGGTTCTCCGAGGGATTCGGCGCGAGATCCGCGTCCCCTTCTCGGCCTGGCTGACCAGGGAATTCCGCTCCGGCCGCCAGCACCGCGTGGTCATCACCGGGTGGGCGCAGAGCCGGGCAGTCACCGGCGTCCACGCCGGCCTGGAGCGCTGCCGCCAGCTCGCCGAGCTTCCGCCATGCCCGAATTAAGGCAATTCCTGGAATTGAGCTTTTCCTGCTGGTTTTTCCTCCCCCCCAAAAATCCACGGAAACTCTTGGCTTTGGTGCGGTTTTCCCGTATTTTCAGCTTTTATGGCATAAACTTCACCCCAAAATGCAGGGAAATGTGGTTTTCTGGCTGTGTTTCCTTTTTTTTCTCCCCAAAAATCCAACGCCACCGTGAAAGTCAGGAAAACCCTTGGGTTCCGGGGATTTTTTTCCCAGTATTTTTTGGTTTCGTGGTGTAACCTCCATCCCTGTCTGGAACAACGCTGGGAAATCTGGTGGAATTTCCTGTTTTCTCCCAAAACCCCCTCCAGGTTCCTGAAATCCAGGAAAATTGCTCCATTTGTTGTTTTTTTTTTTTTTCCCAACCCTTTTAATTTGCATGGCAGAACCTTCACCCCTGTCTGAAACGGCAAAAAACTCTGGGCTTTTCCACTAAAATTTCCCTTTTCTCCCCCCAAAAAACCTCCAGGTTTTTTCCTCCACGTGGAATCCTGGAAAATCGCTGGGTTTGGTTTGTCTCCCGTTTTTCTGTTTTTTTGTGGCAGAACCTTCATCCCTGCCCAAAACCGTGGAGCGTCAATGCAGGAAAATGTGGCGTTTTCCATCTGAATTTTCCATTTTTTCCACCAAAAAAAGGGATTTGGGAAGCAAAGAGATAAGGAAAGATGGGGGAAAAAAGCCAAAATAAAGGATGCAGAGGGATCTCTGGGGTGGGGTTTCCCTGGGGAGCTCAGGAGGGGAAAAAAAAATCCCAAAATTCAATGAAGGAACCCCATTCCAAGGCTTGGGGGGAATGTCCAGGATTTTAGGGGGTCTGGGATTGGGGGGAGGAGTCTCTGGGACAATCCAGGTTTGGGAGGGAGAGATTGGGGGTCCTGGAATTCTGAGGGGTCCAGGGAGCTGGGGGAGGGGGGGAAGCAGGAATTTGGGGATATCCCAAATTTTTGGGGGAAATGGGATCATGGAGCCACCATGGGGGTGTCAACAGTCATGTTGACCCGTGCTGGATCTTCAGGAGCAGGGAATGGGATTGTGGAGTCAACATCATCAGCTCATGCCCCTCCTCATCTGTGTTTGATCCACTTCGGAACAATCCTGGGGCCACCAGGTCCCGGGGAACATCCCTCACCTGTGTCCCCTCTCCGGGACCAGACAGACAAGTCCTGGAGCCACTGGGCTCATAGAGGCCACCAGTCATGGTGCCACCACCTGTGCTGGACCTCTGGGAGCAGGGACCGGGATCTGGGAGACATCAACCATCAGCTCACGTCCATCCTCATCCATGTTAGAGCCAACTCAGGACAGTCCTGGGGCCACCAGCTCCTGGGGGACATCAATCCCACCCATGTTGGATCTCTAGGAGCAGGGAACGGGATCCCAGAGCACCAGGTCCTGGGGGATGTCCCACCACCCACACTGCATCTCCGGGAGCAGGGAACGGGATGATGGAGCCACCAGGCCATGGGAGACATCAACCATCAGCTCACGTCCATCCTCATCCATGTTAGAGCCAACTCAGGACAGTCCTGGGGCCACCAGCTCCTGGGGGACGCCGCTCCCATCTCCAGGAGCAAAGACCTGGAGCCACCAGGCTCACTGAGCCCATCAGTCATGGTCCCGTTATCCTTGCTGGATCTCTGGGAACGGAACAGGATGATGGAGCCACCAGGCCATGGGAGACATCAACCATCAGCTCACATCCATCCTCATCTGTGTTTGAGCCACCTCAGGACAGTCCTGGGGCCACCAGCTCCTGGGGGACATCAATCCCACCCATGTTGGACCTCTGAGAGCAGGGAACAGGATCCCAGAGCACCAGGTCCTGGGGGATGTCCCACCACCCATACGGGATCTCTGGGAACGGAACAGGATGATGGAGCCACCAGGCCATGGGAGACATCAACCATCAGCTCACATCCATCCTCATCTGTGTTTGAGCCACCTCAGGACAGTCCTGGGGCCACCAGCTCCTGGGGGACACCGCTCCCATCTCCAGGAGCAAAGACCTGGAGCCACCAGGCTCACGGGGCCCCATCCCCCGAACTGACACCACCCAGTGCTGTCCCCCCACGGCCACCACCGCCCCCCAGCCGCCGTCACTTGTCCCTGGCGTGGATCCGCGTGTGCCGGGCCAGCGAGGACTTGTTGCTGAAGCTCTTGCCGCAGTGGCCGCAGGGGAAGGGCCGCTCGCCGGTGTGGGAGCGCTCGTGCACCGTCAGGTCCGCCAGGTACTTGAAGCTCTTGCTGCAGGTCCGGCAGGGGTAGGGCCGCTCCTGGGTGTGGCTGCGCCGGTGCATGGTCAGGTTGGACTGCTGGCTGAAGCGCTTGCCGCAGGCCGGGCAGGGGTACGGCCGCTCGCCCGTGTGCGAGCGCTGGTGCTTGTTGAGGTCCGAGGGGTTGGTGAAGCTCTTCCCGCAGGCGCCGCAGCCGTAGGGCCGCTCGCCGGTGTGCAGCCGCCGGTGCGTGGTCAGCGTGGACAGGTGGCCGAAGCGCTTGCCGCAGGCGCCGCAGCCGTACGGCTTCACCCCCGTGTGCGTCCGCTCGTGGGTCTTCAGGTGGGTCAGGCGGCCGAAGCTCTTCCCGCACTGACCGCAGGGGTACGGCCGCGCCGGCGGCTCGGCCGCGCTCCCGCCGTCCGCTTTGGGGGTGCTGGGGTCCCGCTGGGTTTGGCGCCGGGGGGGTCCTCTCCGGACGCTGTGAGGGTGTTGGGGTTGGGGAAGGGGCAGCTCTGGGGCCGTGGTGGGACCTGTGGGGGGACACAAGAAGGGTCCGTGGAGCGGTTCCCGATGGGGATCGCACGGCTCCGGCCCCTCCATGCTTCAACAGGGGTGGGGAGGGTCCGGCTCCCCGCTCTGACCCCCCAAACCCACACATGGGGGGGCCATTGGGACCATCAGGAGAAGGGTGAGGCTGGGGTTAAGGAGATGGTTTCGGAGCCCAAGGAGACGGTTTTGCGCCCACTGAGATGTTTTTTGAACCCAAAATGGTTTTTGACTCAAAGGAGATGGTTGTTGACCCAAGGAGATGGTTTTGGAGCCCAAGGAGACGGTTTTGCGCCCACTGAGATGTTTTTTGAACCCAAAATGGTTTTTGACTCAAAGGAGATGGTTGTTGACCCAAGACGGGTTTGACCCAATGAGATGGTTTTGAGCTCTAGATGGTTTTTGACCCAAGAAAATAGTTTTGGGGCCCCAAATGGTTTTTGATCCCAAGAAGATGGTTTTGAACCCAAGGAGATGTTTTGGAGCCCAAACAAGAAGGGTTTTGAAGCTAAAGAGATGGTTTTTCACCCAAGGAGATGTTTTTTGACCCAGTGAGATGGTTTTGACCCAAGGAAATGGTTTTTGACCCCAAAAAGTTGATTTTCTCCCAAGGAGATGGTTTTATACCCAAAGGGATGGTTTTTGGCCCCAGGATTTGGGCTTTCAGCAACAGAATTCAGCAGAATGACCGGGTTGGAAGAGACCTCCAAGATCTCCTGAGTCCAACCCGTACCTTAACACCACACCCAGTGCCACACCCAGTCTTGTTTTAAACACATCCAGGGATGGTGACTCCACCACCTCCCCGGGCAGGCCATTCCAGCACTCCAGCACTCTTTCCGTGAAAAACTCTTCCCTAAAATCCAACCTGCATTTCCCCTCAGGCAGCTCTAAAGCTGCGTCCTCTCGTTCTGTCGGTGCCGCCTGGAGAAAGAGACCGACCCCCCCTGCCCACAGCCTCCTTTCGGGGAGGTGTAGAGGTCACCTCTGAGTCTCCTCCTCTCCGGGATAAACACTCCCGGCTCCCTGAGCCGCTCCTCACAGGATCTGTGTTCCCAGCCCCTCTCCAGTCTCGTTGCCTCCTCTGGATGTGCTCAAACATCTCAAGGTCCTTCCCAAACTGAGGGGCCAGAGCTGGACGCAGCACTGGAGGTGTGGCAGTGCCCAGGGGAAGAATGACCACCCTGCTCCTGCTGGTCACACCATTCCTGGTCCAGGCCAGGGGCCGTTGGACTTCTTGGCCACCAGGGCACTGCTGGCTGGTGTCCAGCTGCTGTCACCAGCCCCCCCAGGTCCCTTTCTGGCACTGTCCATCCCCAGCCTGTGGTGCTGCAGGGGTTTTTGTGACCAAAATGCAGGACCTGGCACTTGGACCTCATCTTGTTGGGCTCTGCCCACCCATCCAACCCTTCCAGGTCTCTCTGCAGAGAAACTTTTGGTCCATCGAGATAATTTTGATCCCCAGGAGATGATTTTTGGGGCCACTGAGATTGTACCTGGGTCCCAGCACCTCCAGCTTCCCCCGGCTCCAGCAGCACCCCCCTCACCCCGTTTTTGGGGTGCCTGAAGGTTTTCCTCCCCCCCCATCCCGGTACCTCCTTCTTGTGGCTCCTCTTCCTCGGCCACCACCGCCTTCTCCTTGCCCGGAGCCGCCTCCTCCCGGGGGGAATCCGAGGGGGTGCTGGGTGGGACCCCCAAAGCTCCAGGGTCATCCACATCCCCCGGGGCCACGTCCTCCACCTTCACCCTCACGGTCACCTGGGGGACATGGGGCTGCTGAGGGGATTTGGGTGCCGGGGACCCCCAGCAGTTGTGGAGGGGATTTGGGGTGCCTGGGATCACCCAAAAGGTCTCAAAAGTTTTGGGTGCTGGGGACCCCCAAAAGACGCTGTGGGGTTCTGAGTTCCCAGGACCCTCAGAGCCACAGAGGGGGGTTTTGGGGCCCGGGAGCCACAAAAGCTTCTGAGAGAACTTGAGTGCTGGAGATCCCCAAACTCCCCAAAAGGGATTTGGGTGCCCAGGACCCCTAAAAGCTGCCAAGGGGATTTAGGTGCCCATGACCCCCTTTCCAGTGCCAGTTTGGGGGGGGTTTTCTTGGGAATGAGCTCAGAATCCCAGAGCAGAGGTGGGATGGAGCGGGAGGAAATGTAAAAGGGGGAAATCATTCCCAATCCGGGGACCAGGACTCCCTCGGAACCCCCTTCCCGCCCCACATCTGGACCCGCTCCCACCTGCTGCTCCCAAATCCCGTCGGGATCTCCTCGCCCCAGCTGGAAGCTCTCGGCCAAGGCCACGGCCTGCGCGCAGGACTCGGGGTGCCGCACCCACACCCAGCTCTGGATGTCCTCGGGCAGGATGCTCAGGAACTGCTCCAGCACCAGCAGCTCCATGATCTGCTCCTTGCTGCGCTCCTCGGGCCGCAGCCAGCGCTGCGACAGCTCCCGCAGCCTCCGCCACACGTCCCGCGGTCCCGCCGCCTCCTGGTAGCGGAACTGCCGGAACCGCAGCCGCCGCAGCTCGGTACCGGCACCGCCGGAGCCTCCCCCGCCACCGCCCGGCACCAGGCGCCGTGTCCACTCCCCTCGGGGTGTCCACCCCCCCGGGTCCCCTCCCCCGTCCGGGGCGGCCTCCGGGGGTCGCAGCCGCCAGCGCGGGCGGGGAGGAGGGGGCTCCATCCTGCCGGGCTCTGTCGTGACCCCCCCCCCGAATATCCCGCTGTGGATCTGGGGAGGGGGGGGACAGCGGGTGGTTAAGAAAAGACACCCCCC